CCTGCTTCCTGGCCACCATGCTGTGAGCAGCTTTCTTTTGCCATGCCCCTCTGCCAGGCTGTTCCGGCTTGGAGCCAGCTGACTACAGACTGAAATGTGAGCCAGAATAAATCTCCCCTCCCTGAGGTTGTGAGTGTCCAGTATTTTGTGTCACCCACAAAGAAAGTGAGTAAAATGACCTGAAACTATTCTGCTCATGCTTCTGGAAGCTGGAAGTCCAACAGCATGGCACTGGCATCTGAGTGACATCTGGGGTCACTGCATTTACATAATGGAGGCATCATAAGGCCAGGCCAAGTAAATAGAATAGTATGGGCTTCTTACAAAGCTACCAGTCCCATCACAGGACCTCACCCTATTGATCATATCAATCCTAATTATCTCCCAAAAGCCCCACTCCAGTACCATGAATATAGGAATTCAATGATTAGATTTTAAACACATGAATTTTAAGGAATGCATTTGAACTGTGGCACATGATTGGCATGAACTAATCTTGATTTCTAGAAAGAACCACTGTTGAAAACCTTAGATATTTTAATCAAAACAAATATGCACTCAGGTATGCACACAAATGCACACAGGTATGAGCAGGGCCATATACTTGGAAACTATCTGTTTCTCATTGGCAACAGAGAGTAAAGTTTAGGAAGGTGAGCTCTGGAGTATTGTATCCCCAAATCAAACAGGGATGTGTCAGGAATAAATAAATTAACATGTATAATATTTTTACAATAACATCAACACAGGGGTAGTATTATACAAGTGGGGTTTTTAATTATGAGTAAGCCGAAGAACATGGTGAATAGATAGCAGCAGTTACGGAGGCTCTCTGAGATACCCTGCTTAAAATCCAGGAATGGTGCGGTACGAGGAGTCCTAAGCAAGGGGAGATACACCCTGCCGACCCAGGAATGAACTAAGTAAGAGAAACCAACTGGAAATCCAATCCTGTTGCTATAACAGGAACAGATTAATCTCAGCATGGAAGCTAGAACCCACGCCACTGGAAGCCTCGATTAGAACTTCCTGCTGCAGGGCAGGGAGAGAGACACGCAAAAGCTCTGAGAGTGGGAATCTGCGAATGGAGTTGAGAGTGGAACTAGTAGGGAGCCCTACATCGACTTGTGGTGAGTGAGCAGAATGGGGACACTTTCATAGAATAGGAGGCTCCAGCAAAGGACCTACTGGGACTGGGCAGACTTGCCAGAACAGGGTGCTGCAGTGACATTAGTCGCATATTCCCCTCTCAAGCGGGATTGGTGGGGAGTGCCTGCCTGCGTGATGCAGCTGATTAAGGCCCAGTAGGCTATCCCAACCCAGGTCCCAGTGCCTGGAGGTGCACCCTAGCAGTGAAGCCTTCGGTAGGTTGACCTGGAGGGGTGGGCCCAGCAGAGGCTGCCCAGGTCTATGTCTTCCTAGTACACTGCAGTGGACGGGAACACCTAGCCAGCGCAATTCAAACAAACTGTAACTGACAAAGAGAAAAAAATTGGGCCTCCTACATTCGCTTGTATGGAAGGAACAAAAAGTATGGGAGGAGGAAGCAAAAAGAAAGGGTCCTCAGTCCCCAATCCTGAGAACACTGATCCAGGAAAGAGAAACGCAAAGGAAGACAGAAAACATGCAATATCAGACACGGCACCAATAGACATAAAGCGATATCTCCAGAGCCTCATAGATGAGTTTAAAAATGGAGTATTTAACGAAATAAAGCAAGATATAAGTAGAATAGTTAGAGAAATACTAAGCACCGCCCAAGAAAAAACAGATGGTGGAATGGAAGAACAGAAAAAAAGGGGAGAATTGTTTGATGGACAAAATAGAGAAAACATAGAGTACATGAAGCAGGTTCAAAGAGATTACCAGGAAATTAAAAACTCTATCAAAAGCTGGCATAACAGCTTGAACGAAACTAAGGATAGATTATCTGAATTGGAGAGCAGATTTGTAATATGGGAGCATGAAATGAAAAACTTCTTAAAAATAACAAGAAAGGGGCTGGGGATTTACCTCAGCAGCATAAGCAACTGCCTTGCAAGCAGGCAGTTGTGATTTGATCCCTGGTACCAATAAAAAACGAATGAATAAAATAACAAGAACACAAACAGCAATAATACAAGGGCTAGAAGATGATAAGAGGATCTATAATTTAAGAATTAAGAACATAAAAGAAGAAGTAGGGGCACAAACAAATGCACTACAAAACCTATTCACAGAAATAATCCAAGAGAATTTCCCTAATTTAGCAAAAGGTAAAGATACTCAGATGTATGAGGCATACAGGACCCCAGCCACCTACAACCTGAACAGAGCTACACCCAGGCATATAATAATCAAAATTCCAGAAATCCAATATAAGAACAGAATAGTAAAAGCCGTCAGAGACAAGAAACAGATCACTTACAAGTGAACACCCATCAGAATTACAGCAGACTTCTCAGCACAAACCATCAAATCACAAAGAGCGTGGGGGGAAATAATTCAAGCTTTGAAAGATAATAATCTCCAGCCAAGATTGAAATATCCTGAACAATTGTCCCTAGAAATTGATGGATAAACAAGGTGCTTCCAGGATAAAGAGGAACTAGGGGAATTTGCAACCACCAATTCAGTTCTACAGAGAATACTGCAGGATATTCTAAAAAAAAAAAAAAAATACCAAGACTTCAGAAACAGTGGCAGAGAGGCCACAATGAATGGAGGAGAAAGCCAAATGAAGAAGACAAACTGACAACAAACGACAGAAAAAGAGCTCAACAGAAATGAGGCAGAGAAGATCGGATGGTAGGAACAGCTATTTTGGAGAAAATAAGACATTATAATAGCTAGTGCTGATTTAGTATCATCTTGCTTTGAAGTCCCAGCAAGCTTTTATTCTTCTGTCTCCATCAGTCTTAACAGGTTGTATCTTATTGTATTTTATTATATGTGATAATATAAGCAAAAACTTTTAAAGACAAGGAGATTATACAGAAACCATTGTTCATTTTCTGATAGTTGGTTCTAAATACCCTGTAATACTGTCATTCCCTTGAATGGTTTTACATTGTCTTGATATGTTTGGTGCTACAGTATACAAAGTTATACTCAAAGATTTCAAGGAAAGAGACACTATGGTAACTACTTTTATGTCAGGATATCTTGTGGTGAAACACTATTTTGCTTAAATGGTTATGCTTTGACCTGCGCTGTTTTGTTGTTTTGCCCTCTTTTATCTCAGTCTCCTTTTTTAAAATTATTTACTTTTGTATTTTTATCTTTTTAATTAAGGGAAAAATACAAAAATAGGATACATTACAGTAACCCACTTTGATTTCCTATTAACTTGATTTGAAACCCTGTATTGCTCTCACCATCTTACTTTGACTGATTTTCCTCTATTCTGCTTTGCTTGATAGTACCAAGTTCGAAAGTATAGGCAAAACTGTAAAGACAATAAGATTCATTATGACGCCCATTCTGGTTGACTGTTATCTTCTTTTAAAGTCCTGTAATGTCTCCAGTGTTTTGGTTTTATTCTTACAGTTTTGCTCAATTTTATTATAACCGATGATATAGGCAATTCTTTTTAAGATAGCAAGAGGCAGTATGGTAACCATTGTTGATCACCTAGTATTTTGTTTTTACATTATCTATTATGTCCATCCGTTTGCTTTGACTGACTCTGTTCTGTTATGTCACATTTGGTTTTACTCTCTTCAAAAAAAAAGTGATAAGAACTGTGGGAGTAATAAAACCCAAAATGTGTAATTGTCATTGTACAAAAGAAAAGAAAGTGCTCTAAAGGTTATAACTGCATATATGTTTAAGTGTATACGATAGATAACCATATTCCTGAGTTTTTTTGGATCATTGAACAAAACTGTTTGCACTCTCACTGTTTGCAAGTCCACTTTATATGCTTCAATTTTGTAACTTGAAGAACTATTTCTAAGATGAGAATATGTAATCTATTAACTGGTGATTTCCTATTGTTTATTTTTTCTGAAATTCTGTGTAACTTGTACCCTTTTTCTGTTTTTCTTTCTTTTTCTCCTTAAATAAAAAAAATTATGAGTAAATCAAATATAGTTTTATATATCCATGTATACAGCTTTATTATATATCAGTGTATAAGGAGCTACTTTCTCAAAGTCTGCATTATATTCCATCCTATCATTAGTTACTGAACTAATTTTCTAATGATGAATTTTATAATTTTCCCAACCTTTGATATTATTATCAGTGATGCAATGAACACCCATATATGTCCTAGTCACTTTCTTATCGCTAGATACAATGCCCCAAAACCAAACTTAAAAGAGCAGGTATTGATTTGGGTTCATAATTTCGGTCTAGTCGGCTGGCTCTAAAGCAGAAACGGGATGGCAGACGAGCCAGATGGAGGAAAATGTACTCCACCTAGGCAGCCCGGAAGCAGAGAGAGAAGCAGGAGCCGGGGCAAGGATACACTTTTCCAGGCCACGCCCCCATGACCTCTCCATCCAGGCCCCGCCTCGCAGGAACTCATTCACTATAAACTCTTGGGTAGATGGTTTCACAGAGAGCATAGCGTCTTCATGATCCAATCGCCTGCCACACACATGAGGCTTCTAGGGGACGTTTGACTTCAAGTCATATCAGTAGATACACGTTTAATGTTATTCTTTTCATTTTCTTTAAATAAATTCCTAAGAAATAGGGCAACCACATCAAGACAATCAGTACTACTAGTAGCACTCCAGAAAGCTTCCTGAGAGGGCAATGAACCAGAGCCTCACCGGTGCATCTCATTGCCATTCTTGGTCATTGTCAGTAGCTGGAAAAGGAAGAATAACAAGGCCTCACTTTTTTATGCATTTGATTCACTAAAAGCATGGTTGGGCATCTTTTCATGTGTTTTGTTCCCATCTTCCACCCATTAGTCTACTGAGTAGATTATTAAAATGTCCCACAAGTTGCCAATATTTTTGCCCATTTCTAATTTGCCTCTTTACCCTTGTTTCTGGTTTCCCGGCACTATACAGAAATAGTGGTGAAGAGAGAAGAGGGGAAAGTGACCCTTCCTGCAGGGACAGGTAAGTCAAGTCCTGACGAATGACCAAGACTCCACCGGACAAAGGTTAGGGGTGTCATTCTAAACAAACAGAGTTTAGGCTGGGTCCTAAGAGCCTAAAATGAGCCTGAAGCTGTTTCCTGGCATCAAAATCCAGATGAAATTCATCACTGAGTCTTTGCACGAGAAGACCTGGATCCTGTCTGTTCTCATCCTCTTGCCTTCCTTTCCCTCGTTTTCCAGCATGGAGGCTGCCCCAGCTTTAGGTCTGGTGTCCAGGGCAGAGGAGCAGGGGAGGGGTGTGCACACATGGGCAGACAGGAACCTCTGGAGGCTGGTTAAGTCACACACATGAGACTCACTCGAAATCTAGGCTGATTGACGGAGACTGACGTCTTCCCTCAGAGGACAGATTGACAATGACGTTCAGGGGGAAGGCTAAAAGGAAGCCAGAGGTGTTGGATAAGGATTCAAATCATCATTTAAAAATAATTACATATAAATGATTATATATATGGGGGTGTGTAGCATATATAAAAATATGTACTATTTATATAATAATATAGGTATATCACATATACACACATGCAGATATAGAAATTGTAATGATGCACACTTATCTGTTGTGAACCCTCACATACTCATATACTTACTAGATCTGTCCCCCTGAGACAGTGACACCTCAGAAACAATGAACCTGCCAAGCATTTAGGTCTCAGTTTCTAAATATACCTGCACCAAAATGAGAAAAAGTGTGGGGATATATGGATAAAACAGTGATTCAAGAATGGGACAGGGAGTCCTGGAACGTCTTACTGTGCTACAAAGTAATGAAAGCCTGGAAAAATGAAGGAGACGTTTCAAAAGGAGACAGAAGCCAGCTCGAGCAATCTCCTGTAGATAAGGCGAGGATAATAAAAAACTAAATAACATGAATATCAGATTGCAATCCACTGAGTAAAATATGGGGCTAAGAGTAGATAGTGAATGAAACAAAGAAAGGAAGGAAGGAAGGAAGGAAGGAAGAAAGAAAGAAAGAAAGAAAGAAAGAAAAAGAGAAAAAGGTTTCTCCAAGAGAATCCTAACAAACAAATGTAGAAAGAACAAGTCATATAACTAAGAAAAATTTATGTGTAGGACATGTAAAAGTATTCCAACTTAATGTGAAAAAAGACAAAAATAGGCAAAGGATCTGAACACGTAATTTGCTTTGAATATAGTGTTAGTATTAACCATCTTTGCATGACTGTAATGAAATACCGGAGGCAATTAGCCTTATAAAGGGCAAAGGTTTATTTAGCTCACTGTCTTGGGGGTGTGTATCATATATAAAAAGAGAGGGAGGGAGGGAGAGAGAGAGAGAGAGAGAGAGAGAGAGAGAGAGAGAGAGAGAGAGGAGGAAGGAGAAAGAAGAAAAAGGAAGTGAAAGAGAGGAGGAGGAGATAGAGACAGAAAAGGCAACAAACATGAAGATGACAAGGTGAAGAATGGGAAAGAGAAGAGAAAGAAGAAGAGGAGGAAGAGAAGAGAGAGGAAAAAGGGGAGAAGGAGCGCTGTCCCACATCTCCAGTGACCTCCTTAGGGCCTCATCTCCTAAATGCATCACTAGTGCCCACAGGGGGCCCATACCATTGCCACATGGGCTGCGGGGAGAAATGCCCCGTGTCCACACCAAAACAAGTTGGAATGTGCTAGCCCCCAGCTGGAGTAGATAGACAGCATTCTAACCTTCCAATAACACAAAGTGTGACCTTATTAGAAAATAAGATTGCTGGGGCTGGGGATTTAGCTCAGCGGCATAAGTGCCTGCCTTGAAGCAGGCAGTCGTGAGTTTGATCCCTGATACTGATAAAAAAGAAAAAGACAAAAAGAAAGAAAGAAAATAAGATTGCTGAGCTACAGCTAGTTAAAATGAGATTACCCTACATTATGGCGGGACCCTCATTCCACAAGACTGGCATCCTTCTAAGAAGAAAAGAAACAGGAACACAGGGAAGGGGCCTGGGAGGATGGGGCGGAGAGCGCTGCTTCTACAAGCCAGTTGAAGCCAGCTGTCAGCATAGGCTGGAAGAGAGCCCCAAATCCAGCTTTCTCAGAGTCTTCACACGGAAGACTCTGCTGACACCTGGATTTCAGACTCGTAGCCTCCTGGATTTTGAACCAATACAATTTTGTTCTTTTAATCCACACAATTTATAGTACTTTGCTACAGTAATCCTAGGAAACACCCATAGCCTGTTTTCCTAAAGAAGATATAGGCTCATGAAAAAAATATTCGCATCATTACGCACAGGGGAAATGCAAGTAAGAACCACAATGAAATGCCACTTTATACTCATTTGATGACTTGAATAAAAGAGAGAAAGCCAAACACGGTGGTACATATTGACATCCCACACTCTGGGAAGCTGAGGCAGGATGATCAAAGATTTGAGCTCAGCTTGAGCAACTTAGCAAGACCCTATCTTAAAATAAAAAATAAGGGGGCTGGGAATGTAGCTCAGTGCAAAGGCCCTGGGTTCAGTCTGCAGTACCTCCCTCCAAAAGAGAGAGATAATAACAATTGGTGAGGATGTGATGAAATGTACCCTAACTCAATGCCAGTAGGAATAAAAATGGTGAACCTACTTCAAAAAATTATTTGATATCTTCTCTAGTATCCTACGTCTTGGTTACTTTTCTCTCACTGCTGAGACAAGATACCCGGCACCCAAAATTAAAGAAGGAAAGGCTTATTAAGCTCATAGTTTGTAGAGATTTCAGTCCATAACTGGCTAGCCCCAAGGCAGGGTGGCTTGGCAGAGGAGAAATAGTTCATGGTTAGCAGAAGGTAGCAAAACAAAAGACAACCACAGTTCTTTCTATCCCTTTTATCTTACCCGGGCAACAGTGTTTTTGAGCCCAGCATTGCACCCTAAATTAACTCCAGTGTCACACACTCTAGATCCAGCCACCTCTGAAAAACCCCCACCTATGACCACATGAGGCTTTTAGGGGGACATCTAGACACAAGCCATAACATCATATGACCCAGCAATTCCACTCCTACTTATATATCCAGAGCAAATGAAAACACATGTCCACACTAAAACTTGTACATTAATGTTCACAAAAGTATTATTCATTGTAGCCAAAAAGTAGAGGCAAATATCTGTCAACTGATGAATGGTTGAATTAACTGCTATGCCCACACTATGGGATATTACTCAGCAATAAAAGAAATAAACTATTAATATGAATAATAAGTGAACCATAAGATGAATGAACCTTGAAAACATTATGCAACTACAAGAAGCCAATCACAAAGGATAACTTGTTGTACAACTCTATGTATGGGAAATGCCCAGAATAGGCAAATCTATAGAAAGAGAAACCCGATCAATGTCTAGAAATGTAGAGTTTGGGGTTACTGGGAGTGACAGTTAAGGGGTACAGGAATTCTTTGGGTGGAGATATTGAAAATGTTTCCAAATTATGATGATGGCTGTGCCACTGTTAATATACAAAAAGTGATTGAATTGTACATTTGAAATGGATAAACTGTATGGTATGTGAGTTGTTTGAAACATAGAAGGAATTATGGAAATAGTTATCATTTGGCCATCATCATAGCTGTCATTAACTGGGGAGGAGGTGGAATAAGATAGTGGTGTGATCTTTTATTTCCCTGCAAAGCACTTATCAGTGCACAGAGGAGGAAACGGTGAGCTTATTTTTAAAAATTTTTTAATTTTTACTTTAAAGGGGGTAAAATTAAACACAACAAAACAGAACAAAATAGAACATAAGAAAGCAATGTAAGATATATAAATTTCAAATCTAGGCAACCTGAGAGCTTCACTATCTATCATATTGTCTCTTGTTTTCTTCCAAATAGTTGTCCATGTCTTTGCATACAGAAAATTCATACAAAACAACATAGTATAAAACTGATCTGAACAGAATGAGGAAGGCGCTTTAGGTCTTCAAAACCAAGCCATGGGGAAGTCACTAATGGCTGTCATAGAGTCTCTCTTTCTCTTCAAAACAGCTGTCCATACTTTCATGTATATTGAAGTTCAACAAAACAAAACAGGCAGCAGGGGAAGAGTTGCTTGGTTTCCCGGTGCTCCAGGTCCCAGCATGGCCCAGGTCCCAGTAAGTGCCTGTGGCTCCCGTCCTGGGCTGCCAGAGCCTGCCACCCTCACAGCCACTCACAGGGGAGGTGGGAGGGGGCGGGTGTTGCTTCATCAAGGCCAGCAGCTTCCTGATGCTGTTTGTTTCAAGCAGGAGCCTAAAGAGTTGTCTTTCTATGGTCTGTTGGCCATTTCAGAACTTGGGCAGTGAAATGGTCAATTCATTAGAAAGAAACAGCTTGAAGAAATGGGTATAGTAGACATACCCAGGACCGGTCATCAAGGTCAGCAAGGTTCGCAGTGGTGGGATTGGGGACACCAGGAGCCTTTGCTGCTGTACGCAGAGAAAGAACAGCATCATTTCTGCCCCTTCTAAGAATGAGGGATCTGAGTCCAGTCACAGACAGGCCCAGCTTAAGAGTCATCCTGCTGAGCGAAAGGCCTGGATTCTTAGAACTCAGAAGGCCGCAAGAGGCAGGGAAGACACTAAAATCAGCAGTGGGGTGGATGACTTGGTCCAACATGAGCTCCTGTGTGGATACTTGGAGCTGCAATGAGGGAGAGGCAGGTCCTGGAGACAGCTGGTGAAATTCAGGTGCATGTGAGGCTGGCAACCCTGGGCTGTATGGATAAATTTTCTAGATTGCAAACTCAGGGTGCTGGTGGGTAGGAAAGGGTCTCACAGGAGAACTTAGGGATGTTGGTGTGTGGTTTGCTTTCACGTGTAAAAACACGAATGATAATAGGGCATGTTACTGTGTGATTGTGTGTGTGTGCATATGTGTGTGTGTGAGCTTTGCACTCTTCTTTATTTATTAGTACCTCTGTGTGACCATAATGATTACTTTCACTGTGGATATTTGGTACATGTATGTGACACATTTTCATTCTTTTTTACTCTTCTTGTATCTTGACAGTAGGTTTGAAATTATTTCAAAACAATAATGTAAAGGACTGTAGGCTAATATAGTGGACGATGTGTGTGCTCATCTGTCTTCTCCTCCACGTATCTAGAATATTTTGGTAGCATCTCTCCACAAAAACTTACACAGAGAAATAGAGAGATGGAGACAGACAGACAGAGGCAGAGACAAGAGGAGGACGAAGAAAGAGGAAGAGGAGGAAAAGAAAGAGGAAGAGGAGGAAAAGAAAGACAGAGACTATATTTCTAAATAAGATCACCTTTACAGTTAGTAGAGATTTCAATGCATAATCACCTCCTTTTGGATGTGAAATTCATGTAACATAAAATCAATCATTTTAACAGGCACAGTGGTGTCCACCAAGAGGCCAAAGCAGGAAGAACATTTGAGCCTGGGAGTTCAAGGCCAGCCTGGGAAACACAGCGAGACTGACTCAAAAAGTAAATAAGCCTTGTGTGTGATGGCACATGCCTTTTTTTTTATTTAAGGAGAAAAAGAAAAAAAAAGCAGAAAAAGGGTACAAGTTATACAGAATTTCAGGAAAAAAATATAAACAGTAGGAAATCACTAGTTAATGGATTACATATTGTCATCTTAGAAATATTTGTTCAAGTTACAAAATTAAAGCTTATATAGTAGACATTCAAACAGTGAGACCAAACAGTTCTGTTCAATGATCCAACAAAACTCAGTAATATCATTGTCTATCTTATACACTTAAATATATATGCAGTTATATCGTTTAGAGCACTTCCTTTTCCTCTCTTTTGTACAATGACTATTACACATTTTGGGTTTTATTGCTCCCACAGTTCTTATTACTTTTTTTGGAAGAGAGTAAAACCAAATGTGACATAACAGAACAGAGTCAGTCAAATCAAAAGGGTGGACATAATAGATAATGTAAAAACATAATACAAGGTGATCAACAATGGTTACCATAATGCCTCCCGCTATGTCTAATAGAATTGCCTATATCATCAGTTATAATAAAATTGAACAAAACAGTAAAGAACAAAACCAACAAAACCAAAACATTGGAGACATTACAGGTCTTCAAAAGTAGATAATAATCAACCAGAATGGGGGTCATAATGAATCCCACTATCTTCACAGCTGTTGCCTATACTTTCGAACCTGGTACTATGAAGCAAAACAGAATAGAGGAACATCAGTCAAAACAAGATGGTGAGAGCAATACAGGGCTTCAAATCAAGTTAATAGTAAATCAAAGTGGGTTACTATAATATATCCTGCTATTTTTTAATTTTATTTTTCCCTTAATTAAAAGGATAAAAATAAAAAAGTAAATAATAAAATGGAGATTGAGATAAAAGAGGGCATAACAATAAAACAGTGCAGACCAAAACATAACCATTTAAGCAAAATAGTGCTTTACCACAAGATATCCTGACATAAAAGTAGTTACCATAGTGTCTCTTTCCTTGAAATCTTTGAGTATAACTTTGTATACTGTAGCATCAAATACATCAAAACAATATAAAACCATTCAAGAGAATGACAGTATTACAAGATATTTAGAATCAACTAACAGAAAATGAACAATGGTTTCTGTATAAGCTCCTTGACTATAAAGGTTTTTGTTTATACTATCACATACAATAAAATCCAATAAGATAGAACATGCTAAGACCAATGGAGACAGAAGAGCAAAAGCTTGATGAGACTTCAAAACAAGATGATACTAAATCAGCATTACCTATTATGATGTCGTTTTCTCCAAAATAGCTGTTCCTACCATCCGATCTTCTCTGCCTCATTTCTGTTGAGCTCTTTTTCTGTCATTAGTTGTCAGTTTGTCTTCTTCATTTTGTTTTCTGCTCCATTCATTGTGGCCTCTCTGCCACTATTTCTGGATTCTTTGTATTTTTCTTTTTTAGAATATCCTGCAGTATTCTCTGTAGAGCTGAATTGGTGGTTGCATATTCCCCTAGTTCCTCTTTATCCTTGAAGCACCTTGTTTATCCATCAATTTCTAGGGACAATTGTGCAGGATGTATCAATCTTGGCTGGAGGTTATTATCTTTCAAAGCTTGAATTATTTCCCCCCACGCTCTTCGTGATTTGATGGTTTGTGCCGAGAAGTGCTGTAATTCTGATGGGTGTTCCCTTGTAAGTGATCCTTTTATTGTCTCTGACGGCTTTTACTATTCTGTTCTTATATTGGATTTCTGGTATTTTGATTATTATATACCTAGGTGTAGGTCTGTTCAGGTTGTAGGTGGCTGGGGTCCTGAATGCTTCATACATCTGAGTATCTTTACCTTTTGCTAAATTAGGAAAATTCTCCTGGATTATTTCTGTGAGTAGCTTTTGTAGTTCATTTGTTTGTGTTCCTACTTCTTCTTTTATGTTCTTAATTCTTAAGTTATAGATCCTCTTATCATCTTCTAGTCTTTGTATGATTGCTGTTTGATTCTTTGTTATTTTTAAGAAGTTTTTTGGGGCTGGGGGTTTAGCTCAGCGACATAAGCACCTGCCTTGCAAGCAGGCTGTCGTGAGTTCGATCCCCAGTACCGATAAAAAAGAAAAAGACAAAAAAAAAAAAAAAAGTTTTTCATTTCATGCTCCCATATTAGAAATCTGGCCTCCAGTTCAGATAATCTATCCTTAGTTTCTTTCAAGCTGTTATGCCAGTTTTCGATAGAGTTTTTAGTTTCCTGGTAATCTCTTTGCACCTGTTTCACGTATTCTATGCTTTCTCTATTTTCTCCATCAAACAATTCTCCCCCCTTTTTCTGTTCTTCCATTCCACCATCTGTTTTTTCTTGGGTGGTGCTTAGCATTTCTCTAACTATTCTGCTTATTTCTAGCTTCAGGTCATTAATAACTTCATTCCTGAACTCGTCTATGAGGCTCTGGCGCTTTATGTCTATTGGTGCGGTGTCCGCTATTGCCTGTTTCTCAGGGTTGGGGGCCGATGGCCCTTTCTTGTTGCTCCCTCTTCCCATATTCTTTGTTCCTTATAAATGCAAGTGTATATAGGAGGCCCAGCTTCCTTCCTTGTCGGCCACAGTCTGATTGAATTGCGCCAGCTAGGTGTTCCCGCCCACCGCAGTGCACCAGGGAGTTAAGGACTGGGCAGCCTATGCGGGGCCCCCCCCTCCAGGTCACCTTCAGGTGCTGGGACCTGGGCTGTGCTAGCCTATTGGGTCTCAGCCAGCAGTGTCACGTGGGCTAGGCACTGCTCACCAGTCCTGCTTGAGAGGGGGACATGTGACTGAAGTCACTACAACGCCCTGTTCTGGCAAGTCTGCCCGGTCCCATAATGTCCTCTGTTGGAGCCTCCTAGATCGTGGAAGAGTCCCAGTTTCTCTCACTCACCGCAGGTCGATGCAAGCCCCCCCCCCCCACCGTCCTTCTCTCAACTCCGTTCACTGATTCCCGTTCTCAGAGCTTTCGCGCGTCTGTCTCCCTGCCGAGTGGATTCAGACGCAGCTGCGGCAGCAGGAAACCCAAATCGCGGTTTCCAATGGCGCAAGCTCCAGCTCAGCCCAGTTTATTCTTGAGTCAGCAGGGCATATCTCCTCTTGCTTAGGATTCCTCACTCCGCACCATTCCTGGATTCTAAGCTGGGTCTTTCAGAGAGGCTCCATAGCTGCTGCTATCTGTCCACCATGTTCTCCCGGAAGTCGGCACATGCCTGTAATCCCAGCAGTCTGGGAGGCTGAGACAGGAGGAATGTAAACTTGAGTCCAAACTTTAGTAATTTAGCAAGACCCTATCTCAAAATAAAAAAAAAAAAATTGGTAAGAGCTGAAGATATATAGCTGAGCACAAAAGCCTCAGCATTGCTAAATAAACTAAGAAATCCCATTTTTAAATTGAATGGTATTTCGTATGTTCAGTGTCACACAACCTGTTGGGAGCCGCAGCCCCGAGCCCGGTCGCCTCACTTGGCGGACGTGAGGCCTGTAGTAAAGAGTAAAGCCTGAGGTAGATTACCCCTCCCATCGAGCACGTTAGTTTCCTGCTTACCGCGTAAGCAACCCGCTCAACAATATAGTCTGCCTGGCAACTGATGATGTTAGCCAATCAGCTTGCCTTGCTTACTTTAACATGATTGGACACTGTATCCGTATATATACTGGTGCTACCCCTGGGGGGGAAGAAGAAGCCCGGAAGTAGAAGCCCAGAAGGAGCCGCGGGGAGCGGACCAAAGGAGGCTTCGGCTGGGAGCGATCCCAGGGCAGGCTGTACGGAGAAGGAAAATAAAAGAAAAGGTTGTCCACTGCCAGACTTTGTCGTGTGTCCTTCCTGCCGGCCGGGAGCGACCCTCGACATTTGGAGGCCCGCACGGGGACTGATCACCCCCGAGACGTGACAGCGGACAACGCTCCAGTACAGAGCTGCGAGACAGGTGAGTTGGGGATAAGCCTGGGCTCTGGGTGGCGCGCACCTACAGGGCTTTTAGACTCCCCTCAGGCTCACGCGTAAGTGGCGGATTCCTTGGGCCTCACGCGGTGAGTAACATATTAAAAAATGGGAAACATGCTAAGTAGTAACATTAAGAGCGAGGGTGGTTGTGGAGAAAGCTCTCAAGAGCTTACAAAAGTACGCAGGGTATTTGAGCAGGCCCAGTCAGGGAGCTCCCGAGAGGGGCCCGTCAAGGGGAACAAAGATGCTAAGGAGGAGGACGGGGCTCTAGCCTCGGAGTCGTCTGACTCCGAGGACGAGGGAAAGTTAAATGGCAAGGAGGCCAAAGAGACCAGCTGTCAGGAGCCTAAGTCGCTCGATAAGGAGTCGCAGGGTTCTTTCCCAGCGTTGCGCCGCGAATTGCGCTCCGCTCAACTTGGTCTGCGGAGGAGTAGAGAGCTCCTGAGCGCTCCCCGGCGCGAGAGGGAGGCGAAGCCTTCCGCCCCACCTTGGGGGCCGTTTCCGGAGGCGATCCCTCGCCGCGAGGCGGCCGCCCGGGAGCTCCCTTCCCCTTCCCCAGAACAGGAAGTGATGCACGGGCCCCCATTTTCCGCCCAATCATGGCCGCCGTCTTATGCTCCGCCGCCGGCGGGTCGGTATTTTTACAGGCGGCTATGGCAGGGGGGACGTTTGTCTCATGAGGTACATCCACCACCTGGGATAGATAGTGGCCCCTACGGGATATTTCCTGTACAAGTAGCTATGGGCCAGGGACGTAATGCATGGGAGCCTTTTGAGATAAAGCAGATTAGAGAACTTAAAAATGCAGTTACAACCTTTGGGCCGACTGCGCCTTACACCATTGCCATGCTGGAGAACCTGTCTTCTGGGCCCCTCACCCCCGCGGACTGGATTCAGCTGGCAAAGGCGTGTCTGCCCTCGGGTAGTTACCTGGATTGGCGAGCCTGGTACGCAGAGTTCTCTGCAGAGCAGGCTGAGAGAAACGCCAGTCGGGGAAACCGGGGGTGGAACAAGGAAATGCTTATGGGAGAAGGTCGGCACGCTGATGATCAGACTCAGTTCCCCGGCACTGTCTATGAACAAATCAACGCCATAGGGCTCCGCGCCTGGAAGCAGGTAAGTGGTGCCGGAACAGC